TATATGATTTGAATGAAAGTACAACCGAAAAAGATTCTATAATCATCAGCAATGAGATAATTCATGAATCCGTTAGTCAAATTAAATTTGCACATTGGACAAATTCTTCACTAACAGAAAAAAAAAAGAAGAATATGACTGATAGAACAAGCACAATCATAAACCAAATAGAACAAATTACAAAAACAATAACCCCGGGAATCCATAGTAGTCCTACTAAAATAAGTTATAATACCCAAAGATTCCAATTTTCTAAATCCTTTTTGAAAATAGTAAAAAAAAGAAATGACCGATTAATCTTTAAATTCGATTCTTTTATAAAAATTTTCTTGGAAAAAATATACATTAAGATTCTTTTATTTATCATTAATATTCCCAAACTCAATACACAATCTTTTGCTGAATCAAAAAAAAAATCTAGGGATATAGCCATTAATGAAACAAATTACGAAAGAATTAATAAAAAAAATCACAATAAAATTTCCTTTATTTCGACTATAAAAAAATCAATTGCTAATATTAACAAAAAGAAAAATTCACATCTTTTTTCTGACTTATCCTATTTGTCTCAAGCATATGTATTTTATAAATTATCACAAACTCAAGCTATTAACTTGTATAAATTAAGGTACGTTTTTCACGACCGAGAGACCCATTTTTTTCTTAAGACTGAAATAAAAAACTTTTTCGAAAGAAAAGGACTAATTCATTCTAAATTAAGTCGTAACAAACTTACGAATTGTGGAATGGATCAATGGAAGGGTTGGTTAAAAGAACATTATCAATATGATTTATCCCCAACTAGGTGGTCTAAATTAAGATCAGCAAAATGGAGAAAGAGAGTTAAGCAACATAATATAATTCAAAATCAAACTTGCAAATCGAATTTCTATGAAAAAGACCAATTAATTGATTCCAAAAAACAAAAAGATTCCGAAGTATCTTTATTATTCCTATTGAATCAAAAAGAGAATTTTCAAAAAAACTCGAGATATGACCTTTTGTCATATCAATATATTAATTCTGAAAATAGGGGAAATTCATTTTTTTATGAATCACCCTTTGAACGAAAGGAAACTATAAACCGAGAGTTTTTTGCTAATTCTAACACATATAAACACAACCCTTTTGATAGATTAGAAAATACTACTAGAGATTATTATCTGGGAAAGGGCGCTATTAGATATAGAAAAAACTATTATGATAGAAAATATTTTAATTGGAAAATTTTAAATTTGGACCTTAGAAAAAGCGTGGATATGGATATTCAGGCTTGGGTTAAGAGCAATACGAGGAATAATCAAAACAATAAAATTGGTAGTAATCATAAACTAAGTAATAAGAATAAAAAAGGCCATTTTTATCGTACACTTTTGAAAAATCCAAAAAGAAACTCTCGAAGTCCAAAAAAGGTTTTTTTGGATTGGATGGGAATGAATGAAGAAATACTAAATCGTCCCAGTTTCAGTTTAGGTTTGGAACTGTGGTTCTTTCCGGAATTCCTACTACTTTATAATCTATATAAAAGGGAACCGTGGGTTATCCCAAGCAAAGTATTTATTTGCAATTTAAATCTAAATGAAAATGTTGAAAATGTTGTTAGTGAAAAGAAAAACATCACTGGAAAAGAAAAGGGCGAATTTATATCATCAAATAAAAACACAAAGAAGAAAAAGCTAAATCAAAAAGAACCAGCGACAAGACGAAAAGATCTTGGAGCAGGCGTACAAAAAAGTCAAGGGACTGTTGAAACCTTTCTCTCAACAAAACAGGAAAACCAGATTCAAGAAGATTATGAAGTATCAAAGATAAAAAAAGGTAAAAAGAAAAAACACTACAAACAATACAAAAGTAAGACAGAAGCAGAACTAAATTTGTTTCTGAAACGTCATTTCCTTTTTCAATTACGGTGGGGTGATGCTTTAAATCAAAGAATAATGAATAATATCAAAATATATTGCCTCTTGCTTAGACTGAAAAATCCAAAAAAAATTACTATATCTTCGATTCAAAGAAGAGAAATGAGTTTGGATATAATGCTCATTCAGAAGAATTTAAGTCTTCCAGAATTGATCAAAAGGGGAGTATTGGTTATTGAACCCAACCGTCTGTCTGTAAAAAATGATGGGAAATTTCTTATGTATAAAACCTTAGGCATTTCGTTGGTTCATACACAAACAAATCAACGATATCAAGAAGAAGAATACGTTGATACGAATCATTTTAATTTACTTGTTCCTGAAAATATTTTATCGCCCAGACGTCGTAGAGAGTTCAGAATTTTAATTTGTTTCAACTCAAAGAGTAAAAATAAGAATCTTGTTGATATACCTTCATTATGTTGGACCAAGAACAACTGTAAGCAATTGTTGGACAAAGAGAAAGATCTTGATAAAGATAAAAATGAATTAATTAACTTAAAGTTGTTTCTTTGGCCTAATTATCGATTAGAAGATTTAGCTTGTCTGAATCGATATTGGTTTGATACCACCAATGGTAGCCGTTTTAGTATTTTAAGGATCCATATGTACCCATGGGTGAAAAGTAATTGACAGGACATTCTTGGTATATATGCTCCAAGACAGGCAGAGGGTATAGGAAAAGAAATAGATTCAAACACGGACTTATCTTATATCCCATTCAAATATAGATACTAAAATCAATAACGTATCAATTAGACCTAGAAATCAATTACCAGAATCTTATTCATTTTAGGGCTAAATTTATCCTTTTATCAATGGAAAAATGTACAACATTTCTGTATTCATCTATCCGACTAAAATGGAATTTAAAACTGCATTGATTAATATGAATTGATAAACGTAGGAGTTAATAAAGAAATTTACACATATACGGCATTAACATACTGCATAAAATTTATATAGTAAAAAAAATAGCATTATTATTACTCATTGGTAAAATACATATCTGTAAGGGAGAATTCTTTATGCTAAAAAATACACTAAGTTCTGAAGAAGAAAATAGAGGTTCTGTTGAATTTCAAGTATTCTGGTTTACCAATAAGATCCAGAGACTTACTTCACATTTGGAACTGCACAAAAAAGACTATTTATCTCAGCGAGGGTTACGAAAAATATTGGGCAAACGTCAACGACTGTTGGCTTATTTGGCAAAAAAAAATACACTACGTTATAAAGAATTAATTGGTCGGTTGAATATTCGAGAGATAAAAACTCGTTAATTGCAAAAAACGCGGCCTTTTAATTTGTAGTACTTAGTTTATTTGTTGAATTTGGATTAATATTAATTTCTTTTAACTTTCAGCAATTCATGGAAGAATAAATCGTTAAAAAACGTATGAATGTACCAGCTACAAGAAAAGACTTAATGAGAGTTAATATGGGACCTCACCACCCATCAATGCACGGTGTTCTTCGACTTATCGTTACTCTAGATGGTGAAGATGTTATTGACTGTGAACCAATATTAGGTTATTTACATAGAGGGATGGAGAAAATTGCCGAAAATCGAACAATTATACAATATTTGCCCTATGTAACCCGATGGGATTATTTAGCTACTATGTTCACAGAAGCAATAACCGTAAATGGGCCTGAACAATTAGGTAATATTCAAGTACCTAAAAGAGCTAGTTATATCCGAATCATTATGTTGGAGTTGAGTCGGATAGCTTCGCATTTGTTATGGCTTGGCCCCTTTATGGCAGATATTGGCGCACAGACACCTTTCTTTTATATTTTTCGAGAAAGAGAATTAATATATGACCTATTCGAAGCTGCTACCGGTATGCGAATGATGCATAATTATTTTCGTATCGGAGGAGTAGCTGCGGATCTTCCTTATGGATGGATAGATAAATGTTTGGATTTTTGTGATTACTTTTTGACAGGGGTTACTGAATATCAAAAGCTTATTACACGTAATCCTATTTTTTTAAAACGCGTTGAGGGCGTAGGCGTTGTTGGTGGAGAAGAAGCCCTAAATTGGGGTTTATCGGGGCCGATGCTACGGGCTTCCGGAATACAATGGGATCTTCGTAAAGTTGATCAGTATGAGTGTTATTACGAATTGGATTGGGAAGTTCAATGGCAAAAAGAGGGCGATTCATTAGCTCGTTATTTAGTAAGAATTGGCGAAATGACAGAATCAATAAAAATTATACAACAGGCTCTCGAAGGAATTCCGGGGGGGCCCTATGAAAATTTGGAAATCCGCCGTTTTGATAAAGTAAAAGATCCAGAATGGAATGATTTTGAATATCGATTTATTAGTAAAAAACCTTCTCCAGCCTTTGAATTAGCTAAACAAGAACTTTATGTTAGAGTTGAAGCCCCAAAAGGCGAATTGGGCATTTTTTTGATCGGAGATGCAGGCGTTTTTCCATGGAGATGGAAAATTCGTCCGCCGGGATTTATCAATTTGCAAATTCTTCCTCAGTTAGTTAAAAGAATGAAATTGGCTGATATTATGACAATACTAGGTAGTATAGATATCATTATGGGAGAAGTTGATCGTTAAAATGATTAAAATGATAATGGATACAACTGAAATACAGACTATTAATCCCTTTTCAAGATTGGAAGTGGTCTATGGTATATTATGGACACTTGTTCCTATTTTTGGTCTTGTATTAGGAATCATAATAGGTGTACTCGTGATTGTTTGGTTAGAAAGAGAAATATCTGCCGGGATACAACAACGTATTGGTCCTGAATATGCCGGCCCTTTAGGAATTCTGCAAGCTCTAGCAGATGGTGTAAAACTACTTTTCAAAGAAAACCTTCTTCCTTCTCGAGGAGATGCACGTTTATTCAGTATCGGACCATCCATAGCAGTCATATCCATTTTACTAAGTTATTCAATAATTCCCTTTGGTGATCACCTTATTCTATCCGATCTTACTATTGGCGTTTTTTTATGGATCGCCATTTCAAGTGTTGCTCCTATAGGACTTCTTATGTCAGGATATGGTTCAAATAATAAATATTCCTTTTTAGGTGGTCTAAGGGCTACTGCTCAATCAATTAGTTATGAAATACCATTAACTCTGTGTGTATTATCAATATCTCTACGTGTGATTCGCTGAGACACAAAATTTCCTCTCTATTTTTTTTCTTACACTTAAGAAAAAGGCTTCAAGCAGATAGTTATATGAGTGAACGAAAACGGCTTAAAAATTTGCAGTAAAAAAGGGTAAGTCTCATTTCCTACGTACAAGGATTAATTAAACATAAGCAAAGCAGTCGAGACTGTTTACCCCAAGATTCGCTATTTAGGCATGATTACTTGAAGCGGGTTTAAAAGACCAACTCTACGAGATTTTTATTTTATTATATATTACGATTACGACAGGTCTATTAACATAAGATTAAAGGTAGGTTGAACAAAAATAAGTGGATGATTAGGAAGACCAAAATACACAAAGGGTTTGTAAAGAGGCGGTAATGTAAGTTTGTTAAGTTACCCAAAGGGGATTTCTGTATATAAAAAGAAAGTAAATTGGGGCTTTAGGTTGGTAGAAACACTCAAGAAGTATTCCCCAAAATCCCGACCCAAAGTATGCTCCTATTCACTGATTAAGTAAATAACTATCACGAACGAGTTAATCTTTTATTTTGGTTAAAGTTAAAGCCTTTTTAGGAGTTATGAAGAAAGGAGAATAGGAACGGAATAAAAAAGAATAATTGCACAACCAAAAAAAGATCTTTTTTTTATTTTTAATTCTTTTTCATATTCATAGAAATTTTGTAGTTCTAAAGAGAGAACTCGTGTAATGAGTTCGGAATTAAAATATTCAAATATCAAATATAAGGTCTAATTCTTTTTCGTAAATTCAAAAAACTAGGTTGAAATATCTATACCCTAAATTGTTATAAAAATATTATAAACAGTCTTTTATTCAAGGATTACATTATTGATTACCAAAAAAAATGAAATTTTTATAATAAAAAAAGATAAGATCAATTCAGAAGCCCTTTTTAATATATTTAAAATATATATCCATAATATACATATCATATTAAGTAGAGCAAACAGAATTTCGTTGGTATAATTCGGAATCTTAGAATAAGTATCTTCCAAAAAAATAGCAAGACATAAATTTATTTGTGACCTCTGAGGAGCCGTATGAGGTGAAAATCTCACGTACGGTTCTGTAATAGCGATGTGAACCTTGGTGTTCTCATCGACTATGATTATCTAACAGTCCAAGTACAATTGATATAGTTGAAGCCCAATCAAAATATGGTTTTTGGGGGTGGAATTTATGGCGTCAACCTATAGGGTTTATCATTTTTCTATGTTCTTCTCTAGCCGAGTGTGAGAGATTACCATTTGATTTACCAGAAGCAGAAGAAGAATTAGTAGCAGGTTATCAAACGGAATATTCGGGTATCAAATTTGGTTTATTTTACATTGCTTCGTATCTAAATCTACTAGTTTCTTCATTATTTGTAACAGTTCTTTACTTAGGTGGTTGGAATCTTTCTATTGCATACGGATTTATTCCTAAGCTTTTTGACATCAATAAAGCGGGTAAAGTCTTTGGAACAATAATAGGTATACTTATTACATTAGCTAAAACTTATTTGTTCTTGTTTATTCCTATTGCAACAAGATGGACTTTACCAAGGCTGCGAATGGACCAACTATTAAGTCTTGGATGGAAATTTCTTTTACCTATTTCTCTAGGTAATCTATTATTAACAACTTCGTTCCAACTTCTTTCACTGTAAAATACTACACAATTCTACGACTTTTATTAAACAAGAGAAAGAAATAAGTATAAAAACTTTTTATTTTATTTATATATTCACGACATGTTTTCTATGGTAACTGGGTTCATAAATTATGGGCAACAAACAGTACGAGCTGCCAGGTACATTGGTCAAGGTTTCATGATTTCCTTATCTCATACGAAGCGTTTACCTATAACTATTCAATATCCCTACGAAAAGCTGATAACACCTGAGCGTTTCCGAGGCCGAATCAACTTTGAATTTGATAAATGCATTGCTTGTGAAGTATGTGTTCGTGTATGTCCTATAGATCTACCGGTTGTTGATTGGAAATTAGAAAATGATATTCGAAAGAAACGATTGTTTAATTACAGTATTGATTTTGGAATCTGTATATTTTGTGGTAATTGTGTTGAGTATTGTCCAACAAATTGTTTATCAATGACTGAAGAATACGAACTTTCTGCTTATGATCGTCACGAGTTGAATTACAATCAAATTGCATTGGGGCGCTTACCGACATCCGTAAGTGATGATTACACCATTCGAACAATTTCGAATTTACCTAAAATCGAAAATGTCTAAAAACCTCGATTTGATTTTGATTCAAAACAACTAATTAAAAGTTTGGATTGATGAAATGATTCTTTTAGATCCAAACTTTTAATTAGTTGTTTAAAAATTTCTGGATAGAAAATCTGTTTATTTTCTATATTAGAGTAATGGTAAATGATTTTCACAATAGATATAGTTTAAAAATAAACTATGCTTTAGGATATTAATTTAAATTAGAGTACTCCAAAAAGAAGTTTCATAAAAAAAGGAGTCACTTCTTTTTTCCTGCTACGGTCAATAAAGTCATGAAATGTTTTAATTTATATATTTTTTTTAAATGAATTTATCTGGACCAATACATGATTTTCTTTTAGTCTTTCTAGGATCGGGTTTAATTTTAGGGGGTCAGGGGGTAGTATTATTTTCCAATCCAATTTATTCTGCCTTTTCTCTGGGATTAGTTCTTGTTTGTATATCCTTATTCTATCTTCTCTTGAACTCCTACTTTGTAGCTGCTGCGCAGTTACTTATTTATGTAGGAGCTATAAATGTTTTAATCATTTTTGCTGTGATGTTCATGAACGGTTCAGACTATTCCAAAGAGGAAAATCTTTGGAATATTGGTGATGCAATTACTTCAATAGTTTGTACAACTCTTTTTATTTCACTAATTAGTACTATTCTAGATATGTCATGGGACGCTATTATTTGGACTACAAGATCAAACCAGATTCTGGAACAAGATTTGATAACTAATAATCAACAAATTGGGGTTCATTTATCAACCGATTTTTTTCTTCCATTTGAATTTGTTTCAATAATTCTTTTAGTTGCTTTAATAGGTGCAATTGTTGTAGCCCGACAATAGTCAAAATAGTAAATAAGCAATTCACGTATCGACGACTTGGTATATGTGATTCAATCGAATCGATTGAGTTGGTGTTTAGATTGAACTGAATAAGATTGATAAGGAGTTGGTTAATGATGCTCGAGCATATACTTGTGTTGAGTGCGTATTTATTTTCTATTGGGATCTATGGATTGATCACAAGTCGAAATATGGTTAGAGCTCTTATGTGTCTTGAACTTATATTAAATGCAGTTAATATGAATTTTGTAACATTTTCTAATTTTTTTGACAATCGTCAATTAAAGGGGGACATTTTCGCAATTTTTGTTATAGCTATTGCAGCCGCTGAAGCAGCTATTGGATTGGCTATTGTTTCATTAATTTATCGTAACCGAAAATCAACTCGTATTAACCAATCGAATTTGTTGAATAATTAGTATTAGTGATACAAATTTCAAACGAATTCCAATAGTCATAAAGGAATTTCTATGTTTGCTACATTAAGGTATAATAGTGTTTACAAAAATCTAAGAAATCAAAGTATCTTGAACCCTTGTCATAAATCAATCCAGAAGTAAATTCATTAGAAAACTTCTGCTAACCTGTTGATTCATCTGGTATTGAAATCTTAAATTAAATATCTATATTAAATTCTATATTAAATATAGGCTTTATTTATAAGCTTACTAGGTTGAAAATTGCTGACATTCAAAATGCATAGATTCAATGTCACATTCAGTAAAGATTTATGATACGTGTATAGGCTGTACTCAATGTGTCCGAGCCTGCCCGACCGATGTATTAGAAATGATACTCTGGGACGGGTGTAAAGCGAAACAAATTGCTTCTGCTCCAAGAACAGAAGACTGCGTTGGTTGTAAAAGATGTGAATCTGCCTGCCCAACCGAGTTTTTAAGTGTTCGAGTTTACTTATCTCATGAAACAACTCGCAGTATGGGTCTAGCTTATTGATACATTCTAGAAAATTTTATTTGAATCCAGTTGAATCCATTTGATTTTTTTACCGACAAACCCGTGCTCAAACTTGTTTGAGCACGGGTTTGTCTGGTCCAAGTGTATCTTGTATTTACCACGAATTATTTTACTTGGTTAACAACAATTGTAATTTTTCCAATATTTGCTGGGTCCTTAATTTTTTGTCTTCCTCATAGAGGAAATAAGGTCATCCGGCAGTATACTATATTTATATGCACACTTGAACTACTTTTAACGACTTATACATTCTGTTATCATTGCCAAATGGATACGCCACTAATCCAATTAGCAGAGGGTTATAAATGGATCCATTTTTTTGATTTTGATTGGAGATTGGGAATAGATGGACTTTCTATAGGACTTATTTTACTAACGGGATTTATCACTACCTTAGCGACTTTAGCAGCTTGGCCGGTTACTCGGGATTCTCGATTATTTCATTTCCTGATGTTAGCAATGTACAGTGGTCAAATAGGATCATTTTCTTGTCGGGACCTTTTACTCTTTTTCATCATGTGGGAGTTAGAATTAATTCCGGTTTATATACTTCTATCTATGTGGGGAGGAAAAAAACGTCTGTACTCAGCTACAAAATTTATTTTGTACACAGCGGGGGGTTCCATTTTTCTCTTACTGGGAGTTTTGGGTATTGCTTTATATGGTTCCGCTGAACCAACATTAAATTTTGAAACATCAGCTAATCAGTCTTATCCTGTAGCCTTGGAAATACTATTTTATATTGGATTTTTTATTGCTTTTGCTGTCAAATCACCGATTATACCCCTACACACATGGTTACCGGATACCCACGGAGAAGCGCATTACAGTACTTGTATGCTTTTGGCTGGAATCTTATTAAAAATGGGAGCATATGGGTTGGTGCGTATCAATATGGAATTATTATCGCACGCCCATTCTATCTTTTCGCCATATTTAGTGATAGTAGGTACATTGCAAATAATCTATGCAGCTTCAACATCTCTTGGTCAACGGAATTTAAAAAAAAGAATAGCCTATTCTTCAGTATCTCATATGGGTTTCATAATTATAGGGCTCGGATCTATAACCGATACAGGACTCAACGGAGCTCTTTTACAAATAATATCACATGGATTTATTGGTGCTGCACTTTTTTTCTTGGCGGGTACCACTTATGATAGACTGCGTCTTGTTTATCTTAACCAAATGGGCGGAATAGCTATCCGAATGCCAAAAATATTCACTATGTTCAGTACCTTTTCCATGGCTTCCCTCGCATTACCGGGTATGAGTGGTTTTGTTGCGGAATTGCTAGTATTTTTTGGAATAATTACCAGCCAAAAATTTCTTTTAATCCCCAAAATACTAATTACTTTTGTAATGGCAATTGGAATGATATTAACTCCTATTTATTCATTATCTATGTCACGACAAATTTTCTATGGATACAAGTTCCTTAATATTCAAAAAGGTTCTTTTGTTGATTCTGGACCGCGCGAGTTATTTCTTTCGATTTCGCTCTTTTTACCCATACTAGGTATTGGTATGTACCCGGATTTCATTTTTTCACTATCGGTTGATAAGGTCGAAGTTATTCTATCTAATTCTTTTTTATAAATTTGAAAATTATTTATTTTGTAGTTAAAAAGGTCTCTTTTTTTATTCGAGACCTTTTTGTCAATTTCTAAGTAAAGTTAGAAAAAAAATGAATTTTAAACCCATATGATATGGGCAATGAGCCCGAGCCGTGTGAATAAAATATTTTATTCACACGGCTATCATAAAGTTTTTTAGTATATATACGCTGTAACCGGTTGGATTCGCAAGATCCTTTCTTGAATCTTGAACTCAGTTAGATGTTATGTTAATGTAAATGAACCATAACTATGCAGCCCTATTCCTAATAAATTGACCCCAAAATAGCAAATCCAAATTATAAGAAATCCTATAAGCGCTACAATTGCTGAGTGGTAACCTTGCATATTTCTAGTTGTTCGGGTATGTAAATAAATGGCGAATATGGTCCAAGTAATAAATGCCCAAGTTTCTTTTGGATCCCAACTCCAATATGATCCCCACGCTTCGTTAGCCCACACTGCTCCTGAAAGAATCCCTATGGTTAAAAATATAAAACCTAGACTAATAACCCGATAACTCCAACAATCCAATTGGTGAATCAATTGACACCTGTAATAATTCTTAGTAGAAAAAAAAGAAGTATTTGGCAAAAGATTTGTTCTTTCATTCATGTATTTGATTTCACCACTGAAAAAATCTTGATTTAATACTAAAAGATTACTTTTACAAAAAATTGTTTCGTTTTTTCTCAATGTAATAACTAGAAGTGCTATTGACAATAATGATCCGCATAAAAGTGACGCATAGCTCAATAGCATCATAGTTACGTGCATTATTAACCATTCAGATTGAAGAGCAGGTACTAATATTGAGGATTGGTCTATTTCAGTTAAAATACCTGAAGTAACAAAACCTTGAGTCAACAGAACACTTGAACCCGTTATTGTGCTTAAATAATTTTTCTTTTTTTTAAAAAAAGGAACTATATGAATAAGCGAGAAACTCCAGGAAAGAAAAATTAATGATTCCCATAAATCGCTTAGTGGTAAATGACCCGAATAAACCCAACGCGTAACTAATAATCCTGTTAGACAAAAAAAGGTAATTATCATCGCCTTTTCGGACGAATCATATAGTTGTATGATTTCATCTTCTAAAAAAAAGCTTATCAACCAAATTGTAATTCTTATTGAAACGATTGAAAAAGAAATATGAGTTAATATATGTTCTAAGGTTGCAAATATCATAAAAAATCTTAAAAAAGAAAAGAAGAGTCTCTTCAATTTAAATTGAAATCGGGAGTTGAGTTTATTATACGATCTATTTATCTTTTTTAGAAGGTGGCATGCCGCCACTCGGACTCGAACCGAGATGCTCTAGCACTGCTTCCTAAGAGCAGCGTGTCTACCAATTTCACCATGGCGGCTTGTCTTGAACTTATATGTCTTGAACTTATAATAGTCTATCACTAAAAAATCGTCGAGATTGAATAAAAAAATGCAGTATTTTTTTTCAGACAAGTTTCCATCGATGAATCAGAATAAAAATTCAGTCAAAGAACGAGTTGAGGGTTCGTTATTTTAATTGAAGGGCTTGGATTTTTTGTATATTTTCTTTTATGCTTGAGTTATTGGAACTATAAAGTTATACTGGTAATCAAGAGATAGAATTCAAAAACTGTACTTTATAAAATAAACAACAATGAACATAAATAAACTAGAAAGCAGATAGAAAAAGAGATCAAAATTTGTATTATTCTATCTTGTAACTGTGTTAAATCAAATATGTCGATGGGGAAAAAAGTCTCCCCATCTTCTAACTGA